CCTGACAAGCCATTTAGAGTAACTACGGATGCAAGCCAATATGGCATAGGCGCTGACTTGCACAACAGGAGGGGAAAAAGTTAAGGCCAGTTAAGTACATGTCCAAGAAAATGTCGTCTCAGAAGTTGGCTAAGTCCACCTATGAGAAGGAACTCTATGCGGTTTACAAGGCTCTGACCCATTGGAGGCACTACCTCCTTGGGAGGTTCTTCATCCTCAGGACTGATCATCAGACCCTGAGATGGATGAGAACTCAGCCGGTACTCTCTGACGCTCTCAAGCGTTGGATCGAAGTCATTGAGCAGTATGACTTCGAGCCCTAGTACATCAAGGGCGAGTACAATAAAGTTGCTGACGCCTTGTCGCGTAGACCTGATTTCTCAGGTGCGCTGATTACTGAGTTTAATCTTGCGGACCATGTTACTCATACGCAGGCTTGAGGCGAAGGACAAAGCGACTTCTACCGAGTTCGAGTTGATTAACGGACTGCTGTTCCTTGAGAAGGCAGGGAATAAACGCTTGTATGCCCGAATAGAGAGTCTTTGCGTAGTTTATTTCTAGGAGAGTGTCATGATGCCACTGTACATTTTGGGTTTAAGAAGACGGCAGCCAATTTGTTGCAGCGGTTCTAGTGGCCCACAATGATGAGAGACGCCAAGCTGTACGTGGAGACTTGTCAGGTCTGTCAAAGAGACAAGCCCCGTACACAGGCCCCTCTTGGGCTTCTTAAGCCCCTTCCGATTCCGGAAAGGCCTGGTGAGAGTCTGTCCATGGACTTCATTTCTACACTGGTCACCAGCAAGAATGGTATGCGTTACGTCTACGTTATTGTGGATAGGTTTAGTAAGTACGCAAGGTTAGTCGCAATGCCAGCAACAGCTAAAGATCGAGTATGTAATTAAGCTGTTCAAGGAAAATTGGGTCAGAGATTTTGGACTGCCTAAGTCTATAATTATTGACCGGGACGTGAGATTTACCAGTGAACTGTGGAAGGCAGCAGCTGCAGAACAAGGCATGCAGTTGCAAATGACATCAGGCAATCATCCAGAAGCAAATGGGCAGGCAGAGCAGTTGAACCACGCGGTACAACACCCGCTCAGGCATTATATCAAACCGAATCAGGTGGACTGGGATGAGAAACTTGCTCTCATCGCCAGCCTGTACAATAATGCTGTGCACAGCAGTACGGGCGTGAGCCCCAACAGCTTGCTACTAACTTTTAAGCCTAGATTGCCATTAGATTCCTACTACCTGAGAATCAACCATCTGCTGCACCAGGAACCTTCGTTACGAGCTCCTGATGCAACAGGCTGTTGAACAGATGCATAAGGCTCAAGCGGCGATGATAGAGTCAGAAAACAAACATCGTCGCCCCTCTACATTCCAGGTAGGAGAAAGAGTCTGGGTCAAGTCTTCAGAACTGGGACAGGAGCATGGGGTTTCCCGCAAGCTCATGCCACAGTACTTTGGACCCTGGGAGGTTTTAGATGTCGTTGGGGATGAACCTGATGGCCCTTCTTACGTTATTCGCATCCCTGGTCACTTACGAACCGTGTCTTCCACGCCTCCAAGCTTGCACCTGTCCGAGAAACAGACCATTTTCCCTCTCGTCGATCAATGCTGCCCCCAACCATGGACGGAGAAATCGATATTGTGGATCACAGAGAACTGCCAGTTCCAAGACCAACAGGCAGGGGACGTCCTCCGAAACTGAAGCTGCAGTACCGTGTTGGGTTCCGACATCATACTGATCCAAAGGAGGACCGCTGGTTCACCAGGGAGGAACTCGTGCAGACTGCTCAAGTTGTAGCTCATTACGAGAAATCTCTGCAGAAAGGAAAGCGCCCGATGGTTGAAGACTGAGCTTCTCAGAGGACTGTTAAAGCTAAGGAGGAGGGAATGCGAGGGCACTGCCTCTATGAGCCCCATTCGGCCCCTTTTTGGAGCTAGTCGGCCACCCTAAGTGAAGCAGGCTCGACGAGGCCCTCAGGGCCCTATTTTGACCACTGTGCAACTAAGGAAATTCAGGCAGTTGCGCAGCGCCAGTTGGTTGAGAGAACCCAGGCCCTGGGCCGCCTGTGTGAATGTATGGAAAGCAGGCCCTGGGCTGGATACGGGTACTGGGCCAAACACAGGCCAAAGGCAGTTGGGTGCATGCAACCACCTCAGGCCCAAGGCCTGTTCTCTATCGTGCTGGGCCTCAGGCTACCAGGGCCTACTGGAAACTTCCTGGAACTGAACGCAGGCAGGCCACTTCGATATAGCGAAGGGCCTGCCTCCACATTGGTCATTCGGGTGCTGGCTGCATGCTGCGCGGCCCTCTTCCTGACGCAATTGAAGTGCTGCTGCACTGAAGCTCGGTGGCACTCACCCGCTCACGGGCAAGCAGGAAGGAGCAGGCAACCATAGCCGAGCTGTGCTGCTGTAAGCTGGGTGTGGCGCAGGGTGGTCCTTGGGTGCAAGTGGCATCTGTGTGTTGGGGAACGAGGTTGTGAGTGAGGCGAGAGACACGTGGTGCTGGAAGCGTGCGACATTGGTGGCTGTATTCTCGTACTTCGGGAAAGCTGTTGACGTCATCTTCGGCATTGTAGTCTAGGCTAGATATGATCTGCCATCTGTAGTCTGGGCGCCGAGTGCCAGCTAGGACATCAACATCGGTTCTTCATTGATGATGAGGATGAGACTTTACCAGCATTGTCAATTATGAGCTCTTGGTGTCTTCTTATTTGGTGAAACTCGTGATGCGATTCTGCTGTTGTTTCGAGGTCACGACTCTCTGGTCTTGTGTATATGATGCTGTTTGATTGCTGAAGTTCGCCATTGCTCATCTTCCTTGCACTGGCCTCTAAAACATGCAATGCCCCGACAAAAGAAGGGGGTTGTTCATCACATTCCAGTTTAATTCAAACTCGTGACCTGTTCAGTAGGGGGGAAAAGAGCAGTGCTATTAAACAGAAGGGATTATGTTCATCTGATTTCGGCGCAATTTGAACTCATGGGCTGTTTAGTTGCACTTACCCGTGTACCGTTCTCTCATGTCCGCCAAGTGCATACTTGTTTGTAAATGTCTCCGGTCACTCTGTTGCAGTACTGCTTTGGCAAAGAAGTAAAACTGAAGAGGAGAATACATGAAGCCTACTTGGCCAGCGAGTTCGAAATATGTGTGTGAAAGTACCTCAGCAGGAGTGGATCAGTAGCTGAAGGAACAGGTGTGGCTGAATTTATTGTTAAGAAATTACATCCCTTTGTCTGTGCTCTTAAGCCTGTAGAACAAAGTGAATCCTATAGGCAGGAGCTCCTAAACTTCATGTATGATGAGAGGCATCAGATCAGTTTAGTCGCGGTAGGTAGACCTGTTTCCTGTGAAGGAATGCGGGTTGGTCTGAACCCACAACATCCGTTCCATCATTTCCGGGCATTGTGTTTGTTAGTTTCTTTCTGACTTGTAGGGTGTTTTGAAAGGATTCACGGTGCCGGCACTTAGTCCCGGTTCCAGGGCCATTCCGTAGGCTAGGCCGTAGGACCCTAAGGTCGAAGCATCGTAGGTCCGTAGTTGTCGGTCTTGAAGTGTTGTAGTCTGCCTGGTAATCGACAAGAAAAGTCCAGAAGCGTCCAAGTCCAGTCCGACAGTCCCCAAGTCCAATTTTGCAGCATGTCCGAGGAAAGTCCGGAAGGTACCAGACCGAGAAAATGTTTGCAGCAGACAGGCCGCGGCTGGCCGGTATTGGTCTGAAGCAGGCCAAGCCAAGCAAAGCCAAGCCAACCCAAGGGGAGTCAAGTCCTATATTTAGCTGCTACAGTGCAGTGATTCGTCACTTGTGCAGTTGCAAGACGCGGAAGCGCTGCTGCTTGTGGTGCGTTTGGGCAACTTGTGTGCGCCTGAGGGTGAAGTGAGCGCCTATGGAGTAGTCCATAGCTAGGGTAGAGGTAGAACAGGAAGACGGAGGCCGTAGCTGCCAAGGTGTACGATACCTCAGTGGGTTTATCCAGGGTAACGATAGAGGGAGGAGATAGAGAAACAGATGAGAGAAGGGGAAGCCATAGCCGCTACTTGGTTGAGACTCGCTGTGTGTATGTGTGTGCGACAGAGCTTTTCATGACAAACATTCTTGTATATTGGCAATAATATTGGTGACGGCTTCTTCAATCGTGGATTGTATCTCGTTTTGGCTTCTCATGTGTGAACTCTCACATGGATGTTTGCTGGTGTATGCAAGCTAAACTGTGCGAGTACTTGGATCAGTTCAGTGTTCATGAGCTAACTTCTGATGGCGTGTCTTTTTTTCCTGTTTTGGCATAATTGTTCGGTGTCTCATTCATGTCACCTGTCTGTTTCGTGTGTCTCAGTTATGGATTTCATGAGCTAACTTGTGATGGCATGTCTTTTTTTCCTGTTTTGGCATAATTGCTCGGTGTCTCATTCACGTCACCTGTCTGTTTCGTGTGTCTCAGTTATGGAATGTACATGTTTTATTTGAGTGGTGTCTCATTCATGTGATCTGCATGTTTGCTCAGTCTTGGAGCTTCTGGTTTCGGGGCTTGGGGTTGATTCCCTGTGATTCATGGAGCTCGATCCATTTTTAAATGATTGTTCAGAATCTTTGATAGGGCATGGTTGACCGTTATATGTGTTTGAAATTGGCGCACGTGTGTGTGTGTGTGTGTGTGTGTGTGTGTGTGTGTGTGTGTGTGTGTGTGTGTGTGTGTTCGCATGCGTGCCTGCTTGTGTGTTGGTTTGTTTATGGGCTTGTGGTTGATTCCCTTTGTATTCATGGAGCTCGATCCGTGTTTGAATGATTGTTCAGGATCTTTGATAGGGCATGGTTGACTGGTACATGTGTTTGAAATCTGGCGCATGTGTGTGTGTGTGTGTGTGTGTGTGTGTGTGTGTGTGTGTGTGTGTGCGTGTGTGTGTGCGTGTGTGTGTGTGTGTGTGTTCGTTTGTTTATTGGCGTGCACTTCCATGCTGCACGCTGGCATTTGTGCGGCATGTTACGCAGGCAGCAAATAGCCTATTGATGCTTCTTCCGACACACCCAGGAATGCTGGCCGATTTTCAGGTATGCTCAACTCTGGCATCTTGTTGTTTAGATGGAACTCAGTGATTGATTCTGGAAGTGGCGTATGCTTAGCACTCTTCTGAGGTACTCTGCCTTTTGTGTGTTTCTTTGTGTGTTTGTTGACGGTCTAGGAGTTACTCTGGCTTTTATGTGTCTTTTGTGTGTTTGTTGACGTTCTATGAGGTACTTGGGCTTGTTGACAGTGTATGATTAACTCTGGCTTTTATGTGTCTGTTGAAGCACTCTGAGTTACTCTGGCTCTTATGTGTTTGTTGACGGTTACGAGTTATTCTGGCTTTCATCTGTTTGTTGACATTCTATGTGATGCGGAAAACAGCAGGCAGCTGCTGTTAGGTGTGTGCATGACTCAATTTTTAAGAGTGAGGAGGAAAGCCTTCAGAAAAATGCACGTTTTCACGTGAAAAGCAGCTCACTTTGCATACGCTTCTCGCATTTGATAGGTGGTTATTCCCTTTTTGAATTCTTTCAAGGGTTGGTTTATTCCAGTAAATGAGCTTCCTGGTTAGGCGATCACTTGGTGATAAACTTTTTTGAGGTATGGTTACTGTCAGGTGCTCTATTATTGGATTAGTCATTGCCCTTGTCATACTGTTTACTTGCTTGTATCACTGAACATGCAATTGGTAGATTATGATAAACACCCAGATCGAGTGTACGTGACAGGCTGACAGCATGATCAGTTCATCACACCCATACAAGTCGGCACACACACGAAAGGGCGCTTCTCAGACTGCATCAAACCAGGAGTCGAGTGAGGAATAGCCATCAACGATGGAGGGGTTGCACAACCGTTAGACCTCAGTCCACTAGCTCTTCTGACCTAGAATTTCCCGACTCTCACCTAAAACCGCTGACTTTGACTCGCTACACGACCGGTCAACTTCACTTTTGCAGTGAGCCAATCACGTGCTGGTCTGCCAGCTCTCAAGCCAATAGGACTGTTTTATGAGCTTCCCCTTCTCCAATGAACATAACTTCTGCAGCTTTAGATTGTAGGGAGGTCTCTTATACACATCTAGATGTGTATAAGAGACAGGCTTTAGATTGTAGGGAGGCGTTGAGAACGTCGACATATTCTTCTGCAAGTACTTCCCCAGAGATTTAACTCAAGCCAATAGGACTGTTTTATGAGCTTCCCCTTCTCCGGTGAACGTAACTTCTGTAGCTTTAGATTGTAGGGAGCCGTTGAGAGCGTCGACATATTCTTTGCAAGTACTTCCCCAGAGATTTAACTCAAGCTGGCCAACAGTCACTTTAAGGACGGGCCACCATGTCTTCATCCACTACTGCAAAAGGGTGAAAACCGTTTCATTTGCTGCAGCAAGGAGAAAAAAAGAGAACGAAAAAAACCTAAAAACATGCCAGTTTGGCGCAGCTCATGTTTTTTTCAGATTTTTTTAGAGTTATGTCAGGACTCAGCACCTTGGTCCACCAGGAAAAAGGTCTGGCCCGCCCTAAGTGAAAACGGGCATGCAAAAATATGCCTAGGCCTGAGTACAGGGCAAATTGAGCAGAATGGAGGACCCAGGTTGTTGCTGCGTGCGTGCAGCTTCTTCAACTAACCGGTAGGCCCAGCCCACAAGTTCGTTGAAGATGCTGGGCCTCGTGCAGATTCTGGAAGGGCGCAGTGCACAGGAAACTGGGACAGTGCGCAGTCTGGGCACAGCCTCCTCAGCCTCCCCAGCCAGCACACAAGAGTGGA